GTTGCCTATTTTTTTAACTGGACTCCAGGCGTTGTGGACATTTGGGTATGAACCAATGCATGGGATCTCTTTCTCTCTTTCTCTCTTTACTCCGTCTATCTCTATCATCTCTCTGATCTCTCTGACTTTAAATAAATGAACATATAAATATTTTAAAAAAATATTAAGCTGGTACAGTTTTTACTTATGCCATTCAAAATGCAATTGAGGAGTTCTTGCAAAAACTGACATCATGCAAGTCTACAGCTGAACCCTAGAGGTGGGCTATTTTATATATTCCCACCTGAGTACACACAGACCTTGTGAACTAGACTTCAGTTATATCACTTTAAAACAAGTTTCTAGTGTCTCTAAGAGTTTTCTGTAAAAATTCCCCTTGATTCCTGAAACTGAATACAGTCAATTTTAAACATGATCTTTAAGAAAGCAATCATGGGCCGGCGCCGCGGCTCACTAGGCTAATCCTCCGCCTAGCGGCACCGGCACACCGGGTTCTAGTCCCGGTCGGGGTGCAGGATTCTGTCCCGGTGGCCCCTCTTCCAGGCCAGCTCTCCGCTGTGGCCAGGGAGTGCAGTGGAGGATGGCCCAGGTACTTGGGCCCTGCACCCCACGGGAGACCAGGATAAGTACCTGGCTCCTGCCATCGGATCAGCGTGGTACACCAGCCACAGCACACTGGCCGCGGCGGCCATTGGAGGGTGAACCAACGGCAAAAGGAAGACCTTTCTCTCTGTCTCTCTCTCTCACTGTCCACTCTGCCTGTCAAAAAAAAAAAAAAAGAAAAGAAAGCAATCATAATTAATGAAACCAGAAGATGTAATTAACCACCATCTCCCCTTGAAGTCTGGGCTAGAAAGTCAGACACTGTTTTCTAAACCTTGGGCGCATTTTCAAGGCTAATTGCATTCTACGTCTCTAGAATCGCAGCTTCAGTAAATGTTATTCTTTGTTCTAAACAAGGTTGCTTTTTAACTCAGTATATACTGGTAAAAATCTCATGGAATTTAAGCTAATCTGCTTATAATATTTTTAAATTTAATTTGTTATACAAGTTTCATGTATTTTATATATACAACCAATGGTATTAAGTAGAACATAGTGACACTTTCCCCATTACCCTCCCTCCCACCCATGCTCCAACCCTTCCTCCTCCAGCCTCTCACATTCCCACACTTAATTTTTACAAAGATCTCTTCTCAGTTTATGTAATGATCAGTTAGTTAACCCTACATAGAATTCATCAAATAGTATGAATAGAAAAAAAATGCTGTTCCTCAACAGAAAAGACAAGAGCTGTAAACAATCATCAAATCTCAAAATGTCTACTTCACTCTAATACATTACATTTCAGGTACTCGATTAGTTACCTCGGATCAGGGAAACCATATAATATCCGTCTTTTTGGTTACTGCCATTGACCCAACCCTATATGAATGAAAACAACCATCAAAGTTAATAATTTTCTCTCTCTTTTCAATCTTTCCCCTTTTGCATATTTTACCTTTCCAGAAACATTCTAAAATCTATTAAAACACTGGGTTATCTCTCAAGATCATGAGCCCCAGTGAATGTAAGGGTTGATCCTAGTCTTCTGTGATAAGAAAAAAAAAAAACACACAAATAATGCAGAACATCAGGGAAGTCACAAAGTGCCTCCATTGTCTCTTTGAGCATCTGGAGGGTACATTAAGCCCCAATTTCTTCACCCAAGAATATACTCCATGAATCAAGGGTGATCGAGGTGGGATTACTTAAAATTCCATCAGATTATAAATTTCATATAAAACCATAATTAAAACCTCTCAAGAATCCTCAGAAACATCCCAGCTATTTCTCCAAAATTCCTCCCAGGGAAAAAATAGTGATTTATCTCCCACCTACCTATATTTATATCTCATATCTTTCTTTCCTATGCCCCCTGTCATGCAGCTTATAACATCAGTCCCCTAGCTTTGTCCACTAATCTTCAGCTTGTATTAGTTTAAGGTGTTTTTTTGTTCATTCACATAGAACACTCAAATCAGAGAAATATACTTAATATGACTGGTTTAATTCTGTAATTATCACACAGTTATTCTTAAGTGTTGAAAATTAACTGAAATGTGATCCCTGTTAAACATAAAAGTGGGAATAAGAGAGGGAAGAGATGTATAATTTGGGGCATGCTCGGGCTGACTTGCCCCAATTGGTAGAGTTGGAAACATACTAGGGGATTCCAATTCAATCCCATCAAGGTGGCATGTGCCAATGCCATCTCACTATTCCAAGTGATCAATTTCAGTTCACAATTGATCATAATGAAAGGACTAAGAGTCAAAGGGAGCACATAAACAAGTCTAGTATCTGCTAACACTAACCGATAGAATAAATAAAGGGGAGAGTGATCCAACATGGGAAGTGAGATACTCAGCAGACTCATAGAATGGCGGATGTCCTAAATAGCACTCTGGCCTCAGAATCAGCCCTAAAGGCACTCGGATCTGGCTGAAAAGCCCATGAGCGTATTTCAGGCATGGAAAGCCAAGACACTCTGGCAAAAAGATCTCTGTGAGTGAGATCCCAGTGGAAAGAACAGGTCTTCAAAGAGGGAGGTGCCTTTCTCTGAAGGGAGGAGAGAACCTCCACTTTGACTATGACCTTGTCTAAACAAGATAAGAGTCGGAGAACTCAAGGGGCTTCCATAGCCTTGGAAACTCATGACTGGTGCATAGGGAGATTACTGATGCCATAAACAGGAGTGTCAATTTGTAAAGTCAACAACAGGAGTCACTGTGCACTTACTCCTCATGTAGGATCTCTGTCCTTAATGTGCTGTACACTGAGGCTTAATGCTATAACGAGTACTCAAACAGTATATTTCACTTTGTGTTTCTATGGGGGTGCAAACTGTTGAAATCTTTACTTAATGTACACTAAACTGATCTTCTGTTAAAAAAAAAAAAAAAAGAAAAGAAACTATCAATTCCCAACTTGACTCTCACTGGGATTAAACATGACAATAGGTCTGATCTGATTTCATCATCATTAAAAAAAAAAATCATCTATTATTTTTCACTTTATGTTTCTGTGTGGGAACAAACTGTTGAAATCCTTACTTAAGGTATACTAAGCTGATCTTCTGTATACTAAGATAATCGAAAATGAATCTTGATGTGAATGGAAGGGGAGAGGGAGTGGGAAAGGGGAGGGTGGTGGGTGGGAGGGACGGTATGGGGGGGAAAGCCATTGTAACCCATGAGACGTACTTTGGAAATTTATATTCATTAAATAAAAGATAAAAAAAAAATAATAAAAAAATAAAAAAAAATAAAAAAAAATAATAAAATAAAAAATAAAAATCAGAGAAATAAGTCAATAACTATCAATATCATCTCCTACAAGATCTCTCTATTACTACTACTTAAATTAGTATGTTGTTTAATAGAAGTGGTAAAATGGACATTATTTGTTATTGATCATCAGGAAATAGTTTTCAGTTTTCTTTTTTTTCAACTTTCATTTAATAAATATAAATTTTCAAAGTACAACTTTTGGGTTATAGCGGCTTTTCCCCCATAACCTCACTCCCACCCGCAACCATCCCATCTCCCACTCCCTCTCTCATCCCATTCTTCATCATGATTCATTTTCAATTATCTTTATATACAGAAGATCAACTTAGTAAACACTAAGTAAAGATTTCAACAGACTGCACCCACACAGACACACAAAGTATAAAGTACTATTTGAGTAGTAGTTTTACCATTAATTTGCATAGTACAACACATTAAGGACAGAGATCTACATGGGAAGTAGGTGCACAGTGACTCCCATTGTTGATTTAACAATCGACACTCTTATTTATGATGTCAGTAATTATGTTAGTGGTGAGTTTTGTAACATATGAACTTCATTCAGTTGAGAAATATTATTTTTCTTTCTAGTGTGTTTCAAAGTTTTACCATGGATTTATGTTGAAGTTTTTCAAATGCTTTTTCTGCTTCAATTCAGATATTCTGAAGATTTTTCCTTCATCTTACTAATGTGTCATATTGATTGATTGATGTTTGTGCATTGGGTAGCCCTTATATTACAGGATGAATCTTATTAGGTCATGATTTACATTCTGTATCATACTATTGAATGTGGTTTATTATTATTTTGTAGAGAATATGTGTATTAGTCGTGACAAGGAGTATTTACCTAAAGTTTTCTTTCTTTGATCACATCTTTGCCCAACATTCATATCATGTCAATGCTGGCTTCGTAGAATGACTTAGAAAGTGATTCTTCCTTTGGAATTTCAGAGGGGGATTGAAAAGGATTGACATTAAATCTTCTTTAAATTTTTGTAGAATTTACTAATGAAGCAACTGGTTATGAGTTTTTCTTTGTTGGGGGGGGTGGGGTGGGTATTGTGCTTTGATTCAATCTCCTTGCCAGATAGAGGTCTTTGCAAGCTTTCTATTTCTTCATTTTCAATCATCAATACTGTATGTTTCTATAAATTTGATTGTTTGCTTTAGATTATTTAATTGTTGTCATATAATTGTTTATGATGCTCTTTTTTCTATGTCCACATTCATTTACTACTTGTTCTAACTATTGCTGTAAGTTGAATATTGATATTTCTGGCTAGTATTGTAGTGATCCCTTTTTCTTCTTGCAGTTCTCTGGATGTATACTTCATAAATTTTGGAGCTATGGTATTTGTTGCATATGTTTTTTTACTTAGCTACATGTATCTCAATGGATTGACTAATTTCTCAACATTTAAGGCTTTTATTTCTTGCCACAGTTTTTAAATTAAATTATATTTACTTTGACATTAGTAAACCTGACACAGTTCTCTTTTGATTACTAGTTTCATGAGCTATATATTACAGGTACAAACTATTGTGGTCCTAGATCTAAAGTGAATCTCTTATACATCAAATAGTTGAATCCTGTTGCTGTCCATTCACTCTGTTGTTTTATTTTTCTTTTGATTTATAAATTAAATTCACATACAATTAAAGTAATTACTGATAGTATTGAAGTTGATATTTATTTTTTAACTTGAAAAAAGTGATGAACATAGATTTGATATTTATGGCAATTCAGTAAGTCAGTGTTCTTCTGTTGTTGTTTTGTTTTGTTTTGTTTTTGAATTTCTGGAACACAACAGAAAAGCAGGATCACTGGATTTCCTGGAAATCTAAATTGAAGAGTCTGACCCTCAGCCCTGGCTCATCAATTAACTATGAAAACTGCTCTTTGATATTCAGGATATAATTATTAAAATACCAATTATCAATATCCATATTTTTATCCCATATCTTTCTTTCCTACACCACCTGTCATACAGCTTATAAAATCAGTCCCCTAGTCTTGTCTACTAATCTTCTTATCAATATTTCCAAACATAGATGTGCTCAACTCCATACTCATCACATTTTCCTCAGTCTAAAAATAAATATGAATTTATATAACTTATTCTCTTAAATGTTTCAAATAAAAAATAAGGCAAACTTACTAATGTGTGTGCAAGACACAAAATATTCTTCCCTTCAATTTCCCCCTTTGTCTGATTCCTAGTCATTTAGTCAAGCTGGCTCACATTCACTTCCCCAACCAAGTCCAGCATGGATGCAATTGAAAAACATCACACTTAGTGAAATAAGCCAGTCCCCAAAAGACAAATACCATATGTCCTCCCTGATCTGTGATAACAGAGTACTTAAAAGGCAATCTGTAAGCGTGAAATTCACACTTTGAAATGCGACGATTTAATAGTCCTTGTCTTGACTGTTCAGGACCAGTATTTTTTTTTTCTTCAGACTATTTGTTGAACTTTTTACTTAGCATAGGATTAATCTTAAGAGTATAAAGTTAACTGAAAATAGATCTTTGTAAAAAATAAAAACAGTGGGCCAGTGCTGTGGCACAGTGGGTTAAAGCTCCAGCCTGCAGTGCCCATGTGGCACCAGTTCAAGTCTCTACTGCTCCACTTCCACCCAGTTCCCTGCTAATTTCCTGGGAAGGCAGTAGAAAACGGACCAAGTTCTTGGGCCCCTGCATCTACACAGAAACCTGGAAGAAGCTGCTGGCCCCTGGCTTCAGATCAGCTCAGTTCTGTTTGTTGCGGCCATTTGGAAAGTGAACCAGTGGATGGAAGAACGCTCTCTTTCTATGTCTACCTCTCTCTGTAACTCTTTCAAATAAATAAAATAAATCTTAGAAAAAAATAAAAATTGGAATAGAAGAGGGAGGTGGAAGAAGGGTGGGAGCGTGGGTGAAAGGGAGAGTAGCGTAGAAAGTACAACTGTGCTCCTGAATCTGTATACCTGAAGTATATGAAATTTGCATACCTTAAATAAAATTCTTAAAAATGAAGTTTCAGAAAGAAAAAGAGAATACCTATTTCCCCAATTTCTACACCTCTCATGCTTGAGCTTCTCAAAGGGACCCCTGGGTTCTTGGTCATCCTTGTAGTATTGCCTTACCTTCCAGGGTCTATGCAGGGTCTATTTTTCCTTGAAGCACTGGAGAAAAACTGACTGGAAAATGCTTACTATCAGCTACTTTCCTACAGGCCAACAACTCTGCCTGCTCAACTCCAGAAGCGTCAATGGAATGGCTCGAATCTCCCACCAATGGTTTCTAAACTTCCAGGAAAATCAGTTTGGGGAATAAGGAAGCCAAAGGAAAGAAATCATGTTAAGTTACAAAGTCAGTGGTAAATCAGAATCTTTAAAGAACGCAAAATTAATTATTTTAGGAAAATGACAAAAACTTAGTGTACATGCTTCCTCTACTGTGGATTTAACTCTAGCTTCTTGTGAGGTGTTTAGCATCATGGATTATCCAGAAGAGAGGTCTCTAATCATCAGCGTGTGAGATGTCTGCCATATCACAAGATGCATGCAGGAGCTTCTGGTAGAAGTCATGATGAAGATCTCCATGCTAATATTCATCAGAGAATGGGTAATTAGGGTGGCCATTCAAACTAAAATGAGAAAAAAAATGCATTTAATGACTCTATATACATGGTAATTACAAAGTGATTTTTCTGTAACTGGCATTAGGGAGATTAATCATTGTATACTCTTACTGGTTAAAGATTATACCTTTCTTACTCTCATGATGACTGCCTTAAAATAAGTACTTTAATAACTATAACAAAATTATTCAAATTATACTTCTTCCTGAAATTTAACAAACAACACAGAGCCAAAATTTAAACATACTCCTCCCCCTAAGCCAGATATAGCAATAAAGCCAAGTGATATCAAGTCCTATCATTTTTCAAATTCAAGTTGATGCTAGAAATTTCTCTTTTACTGATTGTCCATTATATAAAATACTGTTAGATTCACAAGTGGAAATAATGTCATTTATAAGAGAGAGTTTTATGACTATGGAGTTTAGAGTCCATTTTTGATATGTACTATATAGTAACAATGAAATATATAGGGTTATAAATATGAATAATTATTGAATAATTAAAGAGGTAGTAGTAATACAAATGGCTTATCTCTCTGTTTACATTATGCCCTACTTATTCTTCATTTTTCTCTATATTAATAAAACACTCAGCCTTGATAACCATAACTACAAATTTTCAGTAATATTATTTTTACATAGAGCTAACCCCTTTTCATAAATCATCACATTTATTATTATTATGAATTGAAATTACCACAGATGGAAAGAATACATATTAGTACATACCATAAATAACAATATATACACTTCCTCATATTCCATCATGTTCAAACATGAAGAAGTAACAATTTTTTTGACTACAAAATCTCTCTATGGCTTTTTTGCTTATGTACTCTTCCATTCATTTTCAAATCTTCCCCATAACTTATCTACTAATTTAAGATCTCTATATTTCACAGAATAAAAACTAAGGGCTCCATTGACCAAATCAAAACCAACCTTTATGCAGGCAATTGTGATTTTGGGGATCTTGGATGAACATACAATGAAACAGAAGGGAGGAATATGACAATATTCAAAACATTAAATGGATAGGATCCAATCAATGATTCCATAGGAAGATGATGGGAATTTAGGCATGGAACACAGTGCTAATGTAAATGCCTTCAATCTGTGAAGGAATTCATCAGGTTCCTAGAAGATGATATTAACTGGATTCTGAAAATACTGAAGAAGCTACATTGATAATATCCATAGTGTATGTCTATCAAATACTCTAGATTACAGAGGTCTTTATGGAGATGTTGATTCAACAATGGTATTTCCTGATCTGAAAAGTTTCACGGAATGAGAAGCACAGTGGGGGATGTATAAAAGTCCACACTGACATGGACTCTCTCAACCAGTTCCTATGTCAGTAGCCAGAGTCTGTTGAGAAACTGAGAAGACAATTCCAGAAAGTTCCTGTCTCATACCAGGCTCATTGTTCAACTCTAGCTTTCTTTCTTTTTTTTATATTATTTATTTATTTGAAAGTCAGAGTTACACATAGAGACAGAGGGAGAGGGAGAGAGAGAGGCAGAGAGAGAGGGAGATGGAGAGAGAGAGAGAGAGAGAGAGAGGTCTTCCATCCACTGGTTTACTCCCCAATTGGCCACAACAGCCAGAGCTGTGCCAATCCAAAGCCAGGAGCCAGAAGCTTCTTCCAGGTATCCCACGTGGCTTCAGGGACCCAAGGACTTGAGCCATCTTCTACTGCTTTCCCAGGCCATAGCAGAGAGCTGGATAGGAAGTGGAGCAGCCAGGACGCAAACTGGAGCCCATACAGAATGCTGGCACTGCAGGTAGCAGCTTTACCGGCTAATCCACAGCGCTGGTCCCAACCTCTAGTTTTCTGATGTTGAGGTAACTTCCAACACTCATTCTACATTCCTTCTCAGAAAATAAGTTGTGGCAAGATATATGCTAAAGGCACTTACAAACTCGCAGAAACATATCGAATATTTCTGTTCAGACCATCTAGGACTCTCATGTCCTCAGGAGTCAAGTGGAATTCAAAAACCTATCAAAAAAGTAAGATATATATATATATTTTTTGACAGGCAGAGTTAGACAGTGAGAGAGAGAGAGACAGAAAGGTCTTCCTTTTTCCATTGGTTCTCCCCCAAGTGGCTGCTATGGCTGGCACGTTACTGCCAGCGTGCTGTGCCAATCCGAAGCCAGGAGGCAGGTGCTTCCTCCTGGTCTCCCATGTGGGTGCAGGGCCCAAGCACTTGGGCCATCCTCCACTGCACTCCCAGGCCACAGCAGAGAGCTGCACTGGAAGAGGGGCAACCGGGACAGAATCTGGTGCCCCAACTGGGACTAGAACCCGGGGTGCCGGCACCGCAGGCGGAGGATTAGCCTAGTGAGCTGAGGCACCAGCCAATATTTTTTATAATTTCTGCTGTGTTTCACCAAGATAGAAAATCCAGAAGAATTACATTGAATGATGTAAGGACAATACATAAATATCTAAGAAGTTTCCAAAACTTATTAAAGACATCAGGAAAACATTCATATGGCTAATGAATATCAGCTAAAAGTAAATAGAAATCAATTCCTATATTTAGTTAATTTCAACTGCACAAAACTACAGCCAAAAGATCCCAAAAGAAGCTGGAGATGAATCAAAGCTGACAAAGTACAAAGATAAATGGACCACGTATTATAGAATCTAGAAAATCTAGGGGAATACTTTTGAAATATATAAGATAATTTACCAAGTTACGTAGAGATTGTTGGATTATTGTATTTACTAAGTTGCAAAGAGATAGTTGGGTTTTTGTATTCCATCCATTAACATCTAGAATGTGAAAAATATTCTCGCAACATAATTCAAATGCAATGACATTGTGTGCAAAGGATAGGAGAACTTCCTTGAGGAGGATATGATTGTCTAACTTGGGGGTGCTTTAAAGATCAAATATATTGTCATAATTGATAACATTGAAACAAATGGCTGCCTGATAGGTTGTTTATTAGGACCCTAAAATGAGGATTCAGAGAAAGAGTTAGAGAACAAGAAATGTCAGAAGCTTAACACTAAATGAATCTAGCAAATAGACTTTCATTACTTTAATATTGAACCTCATTTGCATATTTAAAATTCTTTTTGCATTTTTGTCAGTTTTGGAAATTTTATTTCATAATGGTTTTAAATTGACAAAACAAAAAAGTGTTTTTGTACTGGGTATAACCCAAACCCAGCATTCTCTATTATTAACATCTGATATCAGCATGAAGGTCACAATTCATAAACCATACCAAATTCAAATTCCCCTACTTTTTCATCCAAACTTCCTATCTTCCTTCTGCCTCTTCCTGACTCTAATAATCAACATTCTGTGTTCTTCTTTAACTTTTTCTAACTCATATATTTTGTAGAACATGCAACATGTGTCTTTTGGTACATGACTTATCAGCTAACACGGCATGCTCTTGTTCAGCAATTTTTGTGCAAATAACAGGATTTCATTTGCAGATATACCACATTTTCTTTATAAGTTCACCTAATGATGGACACTTTGGTGAATTCCATATTTTGGTTAAGGTGAACAGGGATGCAATACCTCAAAATTATCAGGTTTATAAGAAATAAGACTATATGTGAGTAAAATGACTTAATGGACAAATTATGAAATGTATTAAAATATATGAAAAGAAAAAATAAATGATTATAATTTGATGCCACAATCATTCATTAAGATCCACATATTGTCAATCAAAAACCAGTTCTTCCAAATTGATTGACAGTCTCAATACACACCATTTAAGGACTTTAGGTGGAAGTTGATAAAGTCATTGTAAATATTATTTACAATGAATCATCAGTGAAGAATAGCCCAGGTATTCTTCAATAAGATAACACAGAGGCTGGCTTGTGGCACAGAGAGTTAAGCTGCCACTTGTGATACCCACATCCCATATTGTATAGTTTGGTTCCAGTCTGAGCTGCTCCAATTCTGAATCAACCTTCTGCTAATATGAAAGGGAAGGCAGCAGAAGATGGGCTAAGTAATTGGACCCATGCCCCCCACATAAAACTATTGAATATCTGCGTCTTGGCCAGTGTGTGTGGTCTGGACCTGACTATTGCAGCCATTTGTGGAGTAAGCCATCAGATGGAAGATGTATATCCCTCTCTCTTTCTCTTTCTCTTTCTCTTTTTATTTCTCACACATGCGCGCGCTCCCTCACTCTCTTTCTTTATCTCTCTCTCTCACTCTGCCTTCAAATTAAATAAATAAATCTTTTTTAAAATAAATAAAAGGATATAGGAGAAATGTTACCACTCTTCACAACATAATGCATTTTCCAATATAATTAAGATAGTACAGAAAAGTAAGTCAGCCCATTGAAGAGAAACAGAGTCCAGAAATGTTATTGTTGCTAAGTATTTCTGTTTTTCATTTAGTAAATATATATTTATATTTGTACCTTTATTCCAAGTAATATATATATACATATACATATATATATAAATTACAATGGAATTTAAGTCTAAATTTGGAAGGAAAGACAACAACAATTCTGTAAGCTAATATAGTATAATACTGTACTTTTCCCTATATAGGACAAAACAGGACACTCATCAACCACAAAAAAGGCATGAATAATTTGATGACACTGAGAATTAACTTTTGTTCATAAAAAGACTATACAGAGAATGAAATCAAAGGCACATCTTGGAATAAATGGCTCAACAAATAGCTCTGACTCTAAAATATGATATTGAGAATATATCAATATGATAGGTTGTTTTATAGTAATGTCACCCTAAATTTCACGCATCCATGCTCGTGTTAAGTGAATTTCACTCTCCTCCATTATGAATTAATGTGTTTCCCACCTTTTAAATCTGGCATGCCTTGTAACTTACATTGAATGATAGAATTTAAAAGAAGTAACTGTGTATCTGTTGCCAGTAGGCTTTGCAAATATCCACACAGTGCTTTAGTATTCTGAAATGGGATGATGTAAATCCTGATATAATTTACTAAAAGGTGAAGAATTCTATGGGGAGAACTGAACCAGAACAGAGAGTGGCTCAATAAATTTCTGAGTCAGAGCTCACTCATTGTCCATCAAAGGCAGCAGAGACTCAATTAGCAATACATAAAGGTTGCAGACTAAAAGAGAAGTACTGGACTGAGTTCAGGTGGTCAAAGTTAATTTTCAAACTATAAAGTTTTGAATTATAATAAAAGCGTTTTAAATTTTATCACTACATTAGAGAGATAATACTTTACAAATACCATGGCTAATTGTATTACAGCTGTCGCCATTTTTACAATAAAAAAATTTCTTTAAAATAGTAAGACTTGGGTAGATGCCAGACTAGATAAAACAGAGTGAAAAATATATAAATTTTAAACTACATGAGAACTAAGGGAAATACAAAATAAAATTGAAAATATTGTAGGCAGAATAATAACCAATTCAACTACCTTATTTAAGGAATTGAAGAAAAAAAAAGTGGCCAGTTGACAGGACTATACAATAAATTTCAGAATTCACGCTGAAACACAAACCTCAGAATCTGCACTCTTGCAATTCAATCTAGGCATGTTGGCTTCCCTCCTCTACAGCAAAAGAAAACACTTACAAGTGGGCAATAAAAAGAAACACACAGGAGATGACAGGGACACCAAGATACCACAAAGGTATCCTGAGTGCCTACAAAGAGGACACACGTGATGGATACTGTAGGAGCCCCAGTGCCCACAGCCCCACTCATCACCTGCAAATTCTCTTTGATTCGCTCCTCATTGAAACTCTTGGCCAAGACCACAACCCCACGCTGTAGCAAGTAACGAAGGGCAATCAGTGCTGGACTTCGCTTGTGCTTTTTTGCCAGGGCACCAAGAACTGGATCATCTAAGAGAACCGGAGTGTTCTGATCCACCCTAGGAGGAAAGGCAACAATGCTGAATTTCTGAGTTCGTGTATTTGGTTTGTTAGGAGGATTCCAAAACAGACTACAGTGCCTACTCCAGACCAGTGCTACTCAAATGTGGTCTCAGGCAGCAGAACCACTGTCATCTGGGATTTAATGAATGAAAAACTACTCATCCATCCAAAACAATGAAATCCTTCTTTTGCAACCAAATGGATGCAACTGAAAACCATTATACTTAATGAAATAAGCCAGTCCCAGAAAGACAAATAGAATGCATTTTCCCTGTTCTATGGTAACTAATAGAATACAAAAAACATGTAATATGGATGCACAAAATTGGTATTTTGAGATCTATTGATTGTTTACAGCCCTTGTCCCTACTGTTGAGGAGCAGTGTTATTTTCTGCTGACTATCTATTGAATTATTTATTATTTAGTAAATTTAGTCTTATGACTATAAAATAAGCCAAAAGTAGATCATCATAAAAATTATAAGAAAGAATAAAAAAGGAAGGAGGAGAGAGGGTGGCAGTGTGGTCGGGAGGGAGGGTAGCATGAGAAGTATCACTATGCTCCTAAATCTGTATATGTAGAATACATGAAATCTGCTCACGTTAATACTGAATAAATTATTTTCTAAAAAAGAAATGCAAATTCTTCCTTGTACTACAACACTTCAGAGTTAATGCCAGAAAAGTAGTTATACTATGAATGCAAACGTTTCAACAGCAAAGGTGTTTTAGATAAGTTTGCTAGTGTGCACATTACCATTCTCCATATTTTTGACTTCCCAGAACACCATAGGCAACCAGAACAATGTCTTTTGACTTGCAGAAATCCAGTAGTTTTCTCTGGTTGAGATACAGATGACATTCCACCTGTAGATAGGCAACACAAAAAGTTTAAGATTATTGAAAACACAAATATTGATATGAAATATGAATATTAAAATTGAAAAGAAACAAAAAGAAAAACTGAGTAACAAAATTTAAATTGACATTATCAACTTCTGGGGATCATATTTTAAAGAATATTAAAATTGCTGTCACCTGCAAGGATAAAAAAATTCCTGACATGAACCAGATCATATTTGTTTAACATTTTTTTCAGTAAGAAATTTTCCTTTTTTGGAAAAAAGAAGGAATTCTTTGAACATTTGACATTGAATTGTGCCAGAAAACTAGTATTTGTTCAAAGATTCATGACAGCAAACCTGTTGAACAAAAGAATTATTTTGCTAGGAATCCTGCTAGTGATATTAATGTAGATTTCTTCAGCATAATGGATAATGAGGAAAATCAAGTTTAATCCACAGAATAAATAAAAACTCATGTCCACAATAAAAGGCATAGAGAGGGAAAGCAAGAGGAAAAACTATTTTCCCCTGCTGGTGGTGATTATTATATTAACTTCTTTCTAAGAACATTATTAATTAAAAGGAAGGTATTAATGTTGCTCCATCACAGAGGAATAATTGCAGAATATCATAGAAATATTTTTACATTAAATGTAATATGAGAAAAGTACAATGGTAGTTAAAAATGAAAATTAGTGTTTAAAAATTCTTTTTTTTTTTATTTGACAGGTAGAGTTAGACAGTGAGAGAGAGAAACAGAGAGAAAGGTCTTCCTTCCGTTGATTCACCCCCCAAATGGCCGCTACGGCTGGCACTGTGCTGACCCGAAGCCAGGAGCCAGGTGCTTCCTCCTGTTCTCCCATGCAGGTGCAGGGGCCCAAGCACTTGGGCCGTCCTCCACTGCCTTCCTGGGCCACCGCAGAGAGCTAGACTGGAAGAGGAGCAACCAGGACTAGAACCCAGCGCCCACATAGGATGCCAGCACCGCAAGGCGGAGGATTAATCAGGTGAGCCATGGCGCCTGGACCAGTGTTTACAAATTCTAATGAAATAACCAATCCAGGCAAACTTAGATAAAAGGATATTAAAATATTATGTGAAAATAGTTTTGTAATACAAATTGCCTTGTGACTGTTAACACTCAAACGATCATTAGTAATTGTACTGGAGGAAGGGAACTTAATGCTTAGAAAGGTGGGTTAACCAAGTGACCAAAGAAAACCAGTTGTGATCTAGTGGATTAGCCCGCCGATTTCAGGTCAGCATTCCATATCTGAGCCCAGGTTTGAGTCTTGGTTGTTCTGCTTCTGATCCATATTTCTGGTAATTGTCTAGAAAGTAGCAGAAGATGGCTCAAGTAGTGAGTGCTCTGTCACCCATATAGGAGACCTGGAGGGAGAGCCAATATCCTTGCTTTAGCCTGGCCCAGCCATAGCTATTGTGACTACTTGAGGATGAACTACCAGAGCGAATCTCTCCCTCTCTCCCTCTCTCTTTCTCTCTCTCTCTCCCCTCTGCCTTTCAAATAAGCAAAAGATCTAAAAAAAGAAAATACTATCTATAATACTGAGAAAACCCATCATTCAATGATTCCCTGTGCAGTACAAATTGAGAAATACAACATGATAAGCTTATTTTCCTGTTCAATCTTGAAATAATAGAGTATTCAGATCTAAATTCTAAAGGACAAAAAATTGGAATGGAAAAAACATTACCTGTCAATATAGGGCAATAGTCTGAGAAATCCGGAATAGTTGACAAAATCTGTTTGGCTATAATGGGGATGGGTGAGGATTTGTAATCAATCTACAAGAAAAAGTATTGATAGGCAGCATTTGGCCTAGAGGCTAAGTCACCTGTTTCCCATATCAGAATGCCTAGGTTTGTTCCCCAGCTCCAGCTTTTAATTCTGATTTGCTGACAGTGCAGCCATTGAGAAGCAGCAGGTGATGACCCAAGTGCTTGGATCCCTGCCACATGTATGGGATTTTTTCATTGACTTTCCAACTCCTTGCTTTGGCCCAGTCTAGTAATGGACATTGTGGGCAATTGAAGAATCAAGCAGTAGAGGAAGCAATTGGAAAACAATGGAAAATTTTAATACGATTGTATATTATGATGATATCAGATGACAATCATCACATTTCTTTGATATAATATGGAAACATAACTTTGAGGGAAAACACTATTCATTCCTAAACGTTCTGGAGGTCTGTAGAGATGAGTAGTCATGTCTCCCAATTATTTTGAATAAGTTCAGTAAATTATTATGCATATTATTAAAAGCCACATATATTTACATACGTTTGGCAACATGGCAAAATGTCAACAATTTTATATGGCAGATGGGAAAATATGGATTTTCTCAAAATTGTTTAAAAAGTTCTGAATGTTTGAAAGTTTCATAATAAAAATGGAGTGATAATAATATGAAAAACATTAAATATTATATGTATATTTTTGAGATTTTTGTATTTATTTGAAAGGCAGAAAATACAAATGGCTAAAATGGCCAAGGCTGAGCCAGGTTGAATCCAGGAGTCAGGAGCTTCATTCAGATCTCTCACATAGGTGCAAGAGCCCAATTACTTGTGCCATCTTCCACTGCTTTCCCAAATGCATTAACAAGGAGCTGGATCAGAGTGGAGCAGCCGGGACTCAAACTAGCAACCATATGGAATGCCAGAACTGAAGGTGGAAGTATAAACTTCTAAGCCACAACAACTTGATATTATATTTTTAAATCATAATGTCAATTTTATAAGCTATATTTTTCTAATTTGGAATCTGTACAACAAGACTAATAGATCTTAAAATGTAAGTTAGAGCACAGAATCAGTCACAGAACAGATGTGCTTGAACAGTACTTGATGGCAAAAACAAGGTAGGTGATACAGATTTAGATAGAGTCAGGCATAGGATTGACTCTGGTTCTCCTAAAAGTATCAGAGTAGTCATGCACCACTGGTATCATCATAAACAGATAACATTCAACCTCTAACCTGCATGAGTTTTTCAGTTTCTAGTTCACTTTCCTGTGACTGTGACTGAGACATCTAAAAGCAGATATCAAGAGAAAAACTCAAGCATTTGAATACACACAAACCTTATGGTCTATCTACCTGATATTATTTTCAGTGTCTCCTGATTACTGACTATTCCAGGAGTGTATCATCTTCCTTTCCCTCCACATCACATGCACACATCTGAACTCTGGTCATGCTTAATAACTCAAGGATAAGAACACCCTCCCCCAGAAGGTCACTTTAAGAACTGCTAGCTTCCTTAACCATTTTACCTCCTCGGATTCTTATACAAATTCAGATCTAAAGCTCTGCCAAAGTTTCAATATAGGTCTTTATCATTTAGATACCCAAGAGAAAGTCCTATATTCCCTTCTAAACAGAGACATTGCTCTTAGAATCTGTCATTCCTAACTGAGCACCAAAAGGGAAACTTGTTGAAAGGAAATGGACACTATGAGAAACAGTGACTTGATCAGCTCTTGTCCTGACGGTTGATGTACAATGTAATACTTTATCCATTTTAGTATTTTTTTGTTCTAGTACCATTGGTTGAACTCTGTAATTAACACCCAATTATTTTTAGGTGTTTAAATTTTAACTGAAAAGTGATCCCTGTTAGGAATTTGGAAAACATTATACTGAGTGTAATAAGCCAATCCCAAAGGGACAAATACCACTTGTTCTCCTTGATAGGTGACAACTAACTGAGCACCAAAAAGGAAACCTGTTAAAGTGAAATGAACACTATGAGAAACGGTGACTTGATCAGCCCTCACCCTGACTGTTGATGAGCAACTTGATATGTTATCCCTCTTAGTATTTTTTTGTTTGTTCTACTTAATACTTTTGGTTGAATACTGTAATCAAGACACAATTCTTCTTAAGTGCTGAAACTTAACTGAAAAGTGATTTCCGGTAAATATAAGAGTGGGAATAAGAGAGGGAAGACATGTGCAATTCAGGACATGCTCAAGCTGACTTGCCCCAAATGGTAGAGTTAGAAACATACCAGGGGAATCCAATTCAATCCCATCAAGGTGGCATATACCAATGCCATCTCACTAGTCCCAGTGATCAATTTCTGTTCACAATTGATCATAATGATAGGACTAAGAACCAAAGGGATCACATAAACAAAAATAGTGTCTGCAAATACTAGCTGATAGAATCAAAAAGGGAGAGAATGATCCAACATGGGAAGTGAGATACACAGCAGACCCATAGAATGGGAGATGTCCTAAACAGCACTCTGGCCTCAGAATCAGCCCTTAAGGCATGCGGATCCAGCTGAAAAGCCCATGAGACTATTTCAGGCATGGAAAGCCAAGACACTCTGGGGAAAAAAAAAAAAACTAAATGAAAGATCCCTGCGAGTGAGATCCCAGTGGAAAGAACGGGTCATCAAAGAAGGAGCTACCTTTCTCTGAAGGGAGGAGAGAACTTCCACTTTGACCATGGCCTTGTCTAAATATGATCACAGTCAGTGAAGTCAAGGGGCTTCCATAGCCTTGGCAGCTCATGACAAGAGCCTACGGTGATTACTGATGCCATAAACAAGAGTGTCAA